TAAGATTCAAAGGGTTTGCCAGGCACGGTGCACACCTGTAACGGCAGCACGTGGGAGGCTGAGGCAAGAGTTCCAGGCAGCCTGAACTGCACAGTGAAACCTTGTCTGAAAAAGACAAAAAAAAAAAAAAAAACAAACCCCACAGAACAAAACCAGAAGATGTAAAGGGCTTGGGTGAAGCTCAGAGTGCAAGTCCAGGGCTGCAAAACATCAAAACACTGGGCATAGGGACGCCCGGCTGGAATCCCAGCGCAGGCAAGTTCCACCGCAGTTTATAACTCTTTGGTACTTGGCCAACGCATTGCCACATTTAACCATCTACACAGCAACACTTTTTTTTTTCTGGTAGCATTGGGAGAGGGAATCCACCGCTTCACACATGCTGAGCTGCAGCCTGTAATAACAGTTCGCAGTAATGACCAGTTCAGATTCCGTAGGGCAGGGTGGTGAACCTTCTAGAGCTTTCAGTGATAACAGCCAGCTGCAGCTGGAGTAGCGTAGGTTCACTGCCACTGCTGGAGGGTGTCAGAAAAGAGCAACCAAGCTGGTGTGGTGGCACACGCCTGTGATTCCAGCACTCCAGAGGCCGAGGCAGGAGGATCGCCAGGAGTTCAAGGTCAGGCTGCGCTACATGGTGAGCCTCTTTCTCAACCCCCCCCCCAAAAAAAAGCCCAAACAAAAAATGAAATAAGCAACCAAAGAGTCATTATCAAATACTTTATAAATACTTGTAATCTGCCAGGAGCTGGTTGGACATTTAGGCTCCTCTGCAATATATATATAATTTCAGGGGTTTTGGATAGTGCTGGGGATTGAATCTGCTCATGTGCTGGGCATGGTGGTGCACACCTGTAATCCCAGCACTCGGGAGGCTGAGGCAGGAGGATTGCTGCGAGTTTGAGGTGAGCTTGGGCTACAAAATGAGTTTAAGGCCAGCCTGCATGGCATAGTGAAACCCTGTCTCCAAAAGGACAAAAAAAAAAAAAAAAAAAAAAAAAAAACAAAAAAATGCTAGGCAAGTGCTTTTTTAAAGTCTTTTTTGAGACAGGAGTTCTGTTTTGTTTTGTTTTTGAGACAGGAGCTTGCTATGCAGTTCAGCCTGGC